GCAGCTCGCCACGCTCGAGGCCGGGCACGGGGCGGCGGGCGCGGGCACTGTGTGAGCCCGAGGTGAGGGGGCGAGGAGGCGGGGCGGGGGGCGGGGAGAGGTGGAGGGACAGAGAGGGAGACGGAGAGACAGAGGAAAGAGAGGTGGAAAGATAGAGGGGCGATGGAGGGACAGAGGGAGAGATGGAGAGACAGAGGGACAGAGTGGAGAAATGGAGAGATTGGGGGACGGAGTGGAGAGAGAGAGGGACAGAGGGAGAAATGACAGGACAGTTAAAGAGGTGGAGAGACAGCGGGAGAGATGGAGAGACAGATGGGAGAGATGGAAATGAATAGAGACAAGGAAAAGATGGAGGGATAGAGACAGAAATAATGGGGAGAGAGAGACACAGGACAGGTCGATTAGAAAGGAGAGAGAAACAGAGCAGCAGAGACCCAGAGGATGGAGACTGGGCCGGCCCTGTGGCATAGTGGTTTAAATTCGCGCGCCTCACTTCCGCGTCCCGGGTTCACAGACCCGGATCCCAGGCACCAACCTACGCACAGCTCATCAAGCCATGCTGCGGCAGGGTCCCACATACAAAATAGAGGAAGATTGGCACAGATGTTAGCTCAGTGACGATCTTCCTCAGCCAAAAAAAAAAAAAAAATTTAACCAGAGGATGGAGACTCAGAGACAGCAGGCATGGGTGCAGACTTTGGAGAGACTAATGAGACCCTGTCCCCGGAGACGAAGGTGGAGAATCACCATTAGCTCCACCCGACACTTGGGGATCCCTCCCTGCACTCCAGCCCCAGGCACACCAGGTCCCAGTTAATCTTCTCAGTGTAACTGGGTCTCTGAGGTCACTACTGTTGCCATCACCATTCCATTGGAGGACACTGAGGCACAGAAAAGTGCCATCTCTTGCGCAAGAGCATACAGCTGGGAGTCTCCTGACAAGTAGTCTAAAGAGAGAGGGGGAAGGAGTGAGAACAACCAACCGAGGCAGGAGGAGTGTTGCCCACAGACAGCAAGACACAGGGAAGGCTGGACCACTCATTCCCTCCCCTTTCCCTCTCCTCTACCTTCTGTCCCTTTTACTAAACACACCTTCTCCAGCTTGCACTCCTCTGCCAAAGACCTGCTGGGGCTCTCCATTACCCTCTGGTTAAACCCAAGCTACTTACTGTGTGTGAGCCCCCCACATTTCAGCCCCACATCTCCTGCCTTCTCTGCAGTCATGACAGCATCCCTCAGTCCACAGATGACCAGGATCTCTCACACCAATTGGCTTCTGTCCATGCCCTTCCCTCCACCAGCCATGCCCCTGCTATCCCTACTCCACACAGAAAACTTCCCATGTGTCCTTTAAGATCCAACTCAACTTCACTGCCTTTCTCTAGGTCTTCATGTTATCCAAGTTACCCCTGTTATTGTTTGTATTACCATGTGTTGTGTCTGTGTGTGCTGGTACTGTCTCTCCTGCCCACCAGGGAGCCCCTTGAGAGTCAGGCCTGGGTTTCTGGTGTCTTTGTTCTTAGCATTGCCGGACAAAGAGTGAACTCAGGAAATCAGAGATTGATGATTGGGTAGGTGGGTGGATGGAAGGATAGATTGGTTGATGGATGGGTGGGTGGGTGGATGAATTGGTTGATGGATGATTGGATGGACTGGTGAATGGGTGGGTAGATAGAGGAATGAATGGATGAATTCGTGGATGGATGGGTGGATGTGGTTGGACGGATGGATGGATAGATGAGTGATGGATGGAGAGAATTCATTGATGGATATGTGAGTGGATGGATGGTTTGGGCAGATGGGTAGTAAAGAGATGACAAGATGGATGGGTTGACTGATGGGTGGATGGATAGGTGGAACAATGGATGGATAAGTGACTTAATCAGTTTCTCAAATGGGGGTTCCATAAATGAATTAAACCCTCATGTCCTAAGACATTCCCTATATGTGATGAATTAACTTTTCTCTTATGCATCCAGAATACTAGTTGTATATTCTTCTTTGTGAGAATTGAGAAAATAGTCTGTCCAATCACCTGCTATGTTCTGTGGATCAGATGAGGAAAATGGTTTAAGAAAGGGTGAGCAACTGTATGCATAAGTGAAGCAAGAGCTAACACAAAATTTGGCATATAATGCAGAAATAACCACCTGTCGTCAAAATTACCCCTGAAAATCTTTTACCTTGCCCAAAAGTCTAACACAGCCGGGTGGACCTCCACTGCTGGAACCACCTGCCAGACACTGGCCAAGCTGGCTTGAGGGTGGGCCCCTCTTGGAAGGAAAACGATCCTGTCTAAACCCAGGACTCCTCCTTAATGGGCAGGGTGAGGTGCTGCCAGCACGTGAAGGATAGAGAACTGAAATTCTAGGAGGCAGACCCGTAGGCCCGGGCTCCGGTCACTCCTGTCTCCCTCTGGGACCAAAATCAGTTGAGTAGCCCAACAGGTCCACCCCCATCCTTGTTACTTCTCCCCTCTCTTTGTCTTCTTTCTCTGTCTCTGCCTGTCAGTCTCTCTCTCTCTCTTTGTCCCTGTGTCTCCGTCTCAGTCTCTCTTCCTGTCTCCCATATCTCTTTTGGTCTCTGTGCCTTGCCTCTCCCTCTAAATCTCTCAGTCTCTCCCTCTCTCTGCCTCTCCCTGTCTCTCATCCCCACCTCTTACCATGGATTCCCATGAGTTAAAGGTAGCATGGAGAGATGAAGGAGCAAATGGGCCAGTGTGGGCGTCAATGTGTCAGGGGCCGAAGCAGGAAGAAAGGGCTCCCTCCCTCTGCCCCCCAGGCCGATGGGTGGTGGGCCCAGGGGACAGGGATACAGGGAGGGGTCCTGAGCCGCCTCTAACCCCACCATCCCTCCTGCAGAGGAACCCATGGCCCCACCTGTCAGGACCGGACTGAGATGTGCAGCTGCCCCAACATCGTCTGGCCGCCAGGATGCCTCCCTGCCCTCCCTCTGTCCTCACCTGGATAAATGGCTCTGCCTCATGCACTACATGTCTGTCTGTGAGAGGCACAGCGCTGGGCTGGGGCCAGGGTGGGGGAGGCTGCTTGCTTTGTTTCAGGGCTGGGGGCCCGAGTTGGCTAGGCCACACCCACAGAAGGGCTGCCCATACTCTTGGAGACCTAGGAGTCCAGCTTCACGCTGGCCCCTCACAGAGCGGGACGGGGGGGGCGTGGGGGGCAAGGATCTGGAGCCCAGACCCACCCCCTCAGTCCAGACCTCCCTCAGCCCAGGCTTCTCTGTTGGTTTGAGGTCCTCCAAGAAGCAGACAGAGGGGCAAATTAGACTTGCAAGATATTTATTGAGAGAGATCTTATGGAGGGTAGGTTGGTGCGGGTCTGACACATGAGAAAGGAGAGGGGAGAGGAAGGAGGGTCACGCAGGATGAGTCTTGAACTGTAACACACTTCCAAGAAAATTTCTGCCCAGCCGCTGGGGAGTCTGAGCTGAAGTCGTCTGCTGGGGGAGGCCCACATCTTGCAGGAACCCCAGCCACGGAGGAGGGTGGGATCCCAAGGGCAGGCGTCAGAGGCTGTCGGGCACTGCTGCTTCTGCAGAAGAAGAGCTGAGGGGCACATTTCCACGGCTGTAGCATGTCCCCGCCTCAGCCTAGTTCAGGCCCCCCCCAGCCCAGCTGCCCTCTCAGCCTCATCAGCCCAGGCCACCCCCAACTCACCCCCAATTCCCTCAGTCCAGATCCCCCCATGATCACAGCCCAGGCCCCACACTCAGCCCAGGCCCCCCTCAGCTCAGATCCTCTGTGCTTACCCCCAGACTCCTCTCATTCCAGACCCCCCTCAGCTCACGCCCCAGCTCCCTCCACTCAGCCCGTGCTCCCTTGCAAAACACACACACACACACACTCCCTGCCCGAGTTCTCTCTGCCTCCTGCTCCTGTGGCCCTCAGAAAAGACACCACGCATCTATATATGCTATATCTGTATTGAGGGGTCCCCCCGGGGGCGCCCCTAATCTTCATCATCCCCCCCTTCCGTTTCTTCGCCCCCTTCTGTCCCTTCCCCTTCGGTGGCCCCCGAGGCATCCAAGCCCCCCTCTGGAGGCAGGGAGGCTGGCATGCTGCCGATGGACGCCGTCTTTTTCTCGCTCCCGGTCCCCCGGTCCTTGGATAACAGGGAGACAGTCCTGGACAGCTTGCATTTGCCCTGCAAGAACTGTGGAAGGTGCAGCATATCCCGGCGCTTGGCCCACCTGGTGGGGAGGGGACACGCTCAGCCTTGCCCATCTGCCTCTCCTCTGGGGGCCCAGGAGCCCACTCCAGCCTTCACCCCACTCGCCAGAACAAGCAGATGCTGGAGATCAGGAAGAGGAGGCCTCCGCATGTCCAGCCCAGCGCCCACATGTGTCTCCTCCGCATAGTTTCTGGACAAAGGAGGGAGGTGTGAGACCCAGGGGGCCCAGCCGCCAGCCCCTGCCCCAGCGACCGCGGCTTCTGGGCACTCACCATCTGGCCGCTGGTGGTAGCAGACCCCATCGCGGTAGCAGCATCGTAGTCGCAGACAGAGATTGGGATTCTCGATGGCTGCCTGGCCCCCACAGCTCTCCCGGTCCCACACGTCTCCCTCACAGCCTGGGGACAGACCACATGTGGTGACTTTGCCCCAGAGCCTGGCCCTGTGGGCCTCAGGATGCTGGGTCCCAAGGCCGGGCTCTGGGGCTGCCTGCCTAGTGCTCACTCTGTACAGACCCAGGAGTCCAGGCCCCCAGCCCC